TCGGATTTGTGCTTGCTTTACAAACAGCTACCCTCGTCCTCCTCAGGTGCCTCAGCCAGAGGGGTTCCTCTTGCCGCTTCATGATTCACAGCGAAGGATTTTCTGTCCCTGGTGCGATCACATCCCCTTCGACGCATCGTTCTCGCAACGAAACGTCGCGTAGAGCCGCAGGACCGTTTGGTGGATGGCCTCGCGCGAGGGCATCGCAGTTCCCGGATTTGCAGAGACAGATACTTGGACAAACTGATCAAGCGCCTGTCGGCTTGAGCATGCCGAGTGGATACGGTACACTTGGCGTGCGCGTGAGCCTCGCTGCTCTGAAGGACACGGCTTTCCCAGGCTTCGTTTCAGTGCAGAGATTGAGCCGTCGCCTTGGGAAGTCTGCAGCTTCGATGCATTTAGGGCATCTAGTGCCTGGCCTCTGGCAGTCTAAGTCTTTGCGTGAAAGGGCTTGCTTTTTCTGATGATTCGGATTCGCCTCAGGATGTACGTGTGCAACTCAAGGCGCTGAGGGCGGAACACATGGATGCGTGAGCGTTTTCTCTCGCACTCTCGGCAAAGCCACTCTGCAACTCCCTGCAGCTCGAGCGCTACTTCGCACAAGCGAAAGGCGGACTGCTGGCAGATGCCGCAGCTCTGCTGCAAGTCGAGAAGCGGTACACGAGACTCTAGCGGGTTCAATACTATGGAGGTCGGCTATGGCAAAACTGCATCTGTTCTGGCCTTGATCGCATTGTCACGACCGACTTCCCCAGCGAAGCCACCGACTGATCAAGCGCCGCGGATCGGTTCCCGTGCCTTGGCAAAGAGAGCTGTGGTCGCGTTAAAACAACCTGGTGGTCACATTTTAAGTTGTTGACTACATGACTCCGAGCTTACTTCATGAACATCTTAGCTTGAAGCGGGCTCTCGCGAGGTGCTACACTCGTGCTGGTTCCGTCCAACCTGTTCCTGGCAGCATTAGCTTAACAAGAGACCTGACTTCAGGCATGTTTTGGTTTCACGTCTTGAGGTTTGAGCAGTGGCAGAATGAGATCAAAAAGTTCCTAAGCGAGAGCACCAAGGCGGCATGGACCCAACAGCTTGTTCCTCTAGCTCTATCTGTCTCTCCGAAGTCAAAGCAATCTAGTGTCGATCCTACTGCTCGTAGTCTTCTACCGGGGTTTCCACAAAGCATTCCTCTTCGGTTGTGGGGCTTTGCGATTTGCAGGTCGTCTCCATTGCCACGATTGCGGACCTACGGAAGGCGACGGTTGGACAGCTGCAGTTAGCCGAGTCTTGGAGAAAAACATTCTTTTGGGCGAGCTTCGCTACCGAACTTCGGTGTAGGGCAAGGGCGTGCATGCTTCGAACATAGAGCGGGGCATCAAGATCGATGAATGCTTTAATGAGCCTGTCCTGTCTCGTCCTGTCTGCAAATGTCTCTTGACATGTTTTTGTCTTTCAAGCATTCCAGGTTTCCTTGGCAGGTTTGATTGCCAGCAAGCCGCCTTGTATGTCGTTGCCGCGCAGACCTGTGTCTATTTCTGTATGGCCTTGGGACACCTGGAGCCAAACTCCTTCGAAAAACAAGAGTTGCTTCACAGTAGGAGTTTTTCTGGTGCGCTTTCGTTTTCGTGCTCGCATGTTCCTCTGGTCAGCTTTCAATGGCAACTCGCAGAAGAAGGTGTCTTGCCAAATGCCTGCGACCGCACTGCTGAGGACATTGTGCTGGTCAGCTGCCGTTTGTTGGTCTCCAAGAAATATGAGGCACGGGCAGGAGGTTCGAGATGACACGAGAGTACCTGACTGTCACAGTGGGATCTGAAGGAGCATTTGGATGCATTGTCCGGTCTTCCGGTGACCCGCCAGACTGCGGCCCAACTGGAAGTTTAGTGTCGGGCCGTTCTGTTCTGTGTATGCGGCTTCTAAGGCTTCTGAAGTTCTCAAACAGACTTGGGTTAGGTTACCAGTGGTCAGAAGCTCTTCGACGATGCGATGCGGAAATGGAACGTGCAGAAACTGCGCCATGACCATGAAAGGCAGCTCTGGGCCAGCAGTTCGTTAGCAATGACACGTGACATGCTGACCTAGGGCGCTCCACCAGATGGGAATTCAGATGGACCTTCCAGGTGGCCTACAAGTGCGATGCTTAAGGAAGGTGTAGCAATCGGAAAAGGTTATCTGCTCTGCAGATGACAAGGTTCGAACACCAGATCCTGGACCTCAACCGCAGCTCTCGGCCTTCAAGGAGCAAGAGCAGCGCCGTAAAGCCATAATTCGCATGCAGGCAAGGTTTGCAGTGCACCCGAGGAGAAAGTTGAGACCAAGCCGCTTGCAAAAGGTTTCCTGCTTTTGGGATCGCGGTCGCCTTGCCCGGCTGAGGCGATGCGAGGCCACGGCCGAGCGCTTCTGCCGGCGCCGAGAGGGCCTGCTCCAGCGCACGAAAGAGCTGCTGGAGCTCGGCCAGGCCAGGCGGCGGCAAAAGAGACCGGAGAGGTTTTTGCGGTGCATCTTTTGCTTGCATCCTTTTTTTTTTCGCGTGGCTTTTTGCCGGGTATAGAGGATTTGAAAGATCTCACTGCGCCTCCCCTCGAGATCTTCTTCTGGCACCGCTTGCGCCTCAGCGCCTCCTTCCACAGCTCGGCAAGGGCTGGGCTGGCTTTCTCGACCCTTAAAGCATGGCAAGGTCTTGGGAACTACTCGCCTGTCATGAGCTCTGCAACCAAGGCTTGGTGGTCGACGAGCTTCACGAGCCGCTTCGTGTGCTTTGGAAGCCAGTCGGACTTTCCAGTGGGGCGCACGTGCACGCGCGCGCGCAGAAAAACGGGATCGGCCAGCGTGTGCTCTCTGTGTCCTGCGTGCAGCAGAGCAGGACAGCTTGCACACACGAGTGAGTGCGTGGGAGGATCTCAGAAACATTCGCTTCTATGGGGGCATCCCAGGTGCTGCGGGATGCCGCTGGCCTCCGCCAAGAGGGGCCAGGCCTGGGAATGGGCTGGCGGGCCTTGTCCGGTGATGCCCGGAGTCTGCTTCCTGCATGCATTTACCCGCACCATGCCGACAGTCTGCTGAGTCTCGGGTGCTCAAGCTTCAGGTTTCACAATCTGGATGGGCTAGAGGCGCGAAGCCGCTGGGGTCTGACAGCGACTCCTCCGACGAACAGTGCTGCGGAAATTTCCTTCCTGGTGCCTGGTCTGCCACTTGTGGATTCTGTCGTGTGCAAAGGTGCCACGTCCGTCCAATATCAGCCTTCGCAGCCGCAGGCTAGTTTCCATCGCGTGTTCGTGCCCCGAGACAGTGATCTGGAAGCGCAGCCCTGGACTGAGAACTCGTTTTGAAATTCGTTGGACTCATCTTAGAGGATGTGCTAGATGAGCCAAGGCATTACCTTGACGAATACCTCCGCTCCAATGGTCTCGATGTTTCTGGGATACCGATCACATATCACCTGATCCCCGTCCGTCCCACAGGCAGGCACCATGCCGGTTTTCCATGTCACATGTGTTTGTGGGTGTGTACATAGTGTTCAAGCCGAGAAAACACGAGATTGGAATGATATGAACAAGGGCTTTGATGGACATGTCTCCGCAGAGAGCATCGGATGCATCGGCGGAAAGGAATTTGAGACTGCTCGAGCCATGTTTCCATGATTGGATGATGTTGCCAGCCTGACTCCAGCACATGTATGTCGAGCGCAGGTGGCGAGAGAGCGCTGTACCTCAACGCTTGCTTTGACAAGGGCAACTTCCAGGCGTCGACGGTAAGCGCTGGATGTGGACAGCTTTCTGCCGTATTTGCCACGTTCAGAAAAGATCACAAGCGTCACGTTGCAGTCGCTGTGTCGGTGTGTTTGGGTACAAGTGTGTCTTGATCGCCCAGGCACTTCTTCAGTTGTGCAACTACTTCTCGCCAGACGGCACTGATGCAGCAAGTCGTCTGCACTTGGCACATCGATGCGGCAGAACCCGGCGCTATCAATTCGAGGACATGGCATCAGCAATCAACTCCACTCGCGAAGGCAATCGATTTGCCTTGGAAAGGCATCGCTCGGTGCAGGGCTTAGCCCAACAACGCTGCCACGGAGTTGCGGAGTGCGCCTGTCCTCAGGACATGGAGAGGGCCGAAGATGAAATCCACCGGCTCCAAACCGAAGAATCTCAAGGCTTCCCAGCTGCGCGAGATGAGGAGGACCTCAAGAAGCGCAAGGCCGCGACTGGAGGTCTTGTTCGCATGTGTCCTGTGAGCCATGGAGGCCAAGCTGAAACGTCTCTTGGATGCCCAGCCCGCACAACGCGAGAAAGAGCGCCTGCTGGAGAGCCGCGTGAAATACTTCGAGGAGGTTCTTCAGCACTTGGAGAAGTTGGAGCAGGCTGTCACTCTCCGGCTGTTTGAGAGATTTTGCCAAGCGGCTTGCGTCTGCGTGCTCGGCAGGACAATCTCGACTGCCCAATTTGCCTGGGCACAATCGAGACGCGAGATTGTCAAGTGACAGCCTGCGGCCACCTCTTCTGCAACTTCGAGCGCACACAGTCAAAGATAGTGTTGTTTTCCGAGCACACGACTCAGCAGACTCGGTCTGGCGCAGCCGAGGCAAGGAATGCATCATCAGTTCCCCGGCCTGACTGTGCGACGCCATTTTAAAGCCTGGGACTGTCTTTACTTTTCTTGGTATTTTCAGGTTGGCTAGGCAAGCGGGGAAAGTGCCCCACCTGCAACACGCAGCTGCAGCTGCCCGCCGGGGTGGCTTCAGCAGAGGATGTGCTGTCACGGCAGAAGGCCTGCATGTAGCAAGAGGGACATAAAGTCGAATTCCACACATATTCTGCAAAAAGTCGGTCTTTTGACTACAAGTTTCTATGTGGCTTGTCTAAACTTCGTGACTCGCTCGTGCGACGGATTGGCCATGAGCACCGCAAGCGGTGCGGTTTTCATTGCAGGAAGCCGCCTCCAAGGGCCGCATTGCGCGCTTTGGATCTAAGATTGAGGCGTGGCGCATAGGGGGTCCGCGAAGAGTGGCCATGGCCTACCGCTTGCCCACAGTCTGTCACAACTTTTTTGGCAGGCTGTGTGCACCCAGCTCAATAGCATCTGGAGAAGCGAACCCGGGGCGAAGGTCATCATCTTTGTTCAATTTGAGGTCTTGTTGAAGAGTCTCGCTTGAACAGCCGTGCACGGTGCGGTGCAACCCCTGACCCTGCCAAGCTTCCCACGCTGGGTACCTTGGGAAGGCACATGGCATTCTGAGCGGTGTAGTCTTCTCCTCGAGTACGGACTCGTCAAGCATCTTGTGCAGCTCCCGACATGTCGGGCAGCAGAATCACGAAGCTTAGGAGGGTACCGGCATTTCAGCAAACATGTTCGCAGCGACACAGTGGTTCCAATGAGGCATGCCTTCTTTCCAATCTCTTCCGGGCTTTCTCTTTGCTCAATGCCTCCGTCACGGTGTGAGATCTGTCAGTTTCAAAGGACTCCGTCGTGTTTCATGCAAGGAAGATGGAGCACGCCCTCGCGGAGCTCGACATGCCATGCCTGACCTTGAAGGGGACGGTCTTTGAGCGGCGGCGGGTGATTCGGCGCTTCCACGCCGAAGGGCCACTTGGACAGAGGATGTAAGATGTCCTGACCACCCAGGAGAGAGAAGACAGAGGAGAGAGAAGACAGACATGACCTCGCAGAATTTTGCTACTCTCCTTTGATCGCTTTGGGTATGGGTAAAGTTGGTGCTTGAAGCCACGCCGCCTGGTCGCAATGCTCCCCATCGTTACTAAGGAAGGAGAACGAGATCCTATTGCTCTCGTTGGAAAGAAGTCCATCTGGCATGAATCTGGTCTGTTCCAGCCTCAGGTGTCATCCAAGGCAGCCAAAGCGGACACAGCTTGCACACCTCCCTGCGGCTGGATTCTGGCTGAGGCTGCCACCACCTGCTGCTGGTTCACCCGATGGCTGCCGAGAGCCGGGATGCTGCCTTGAGCTTCGAGCGCCAGGCGGGGTTGACCCCAACAGGGGCCTTATTGCGCCCACCTTGCCTCCGACCCAGGCGATTGGCCGAGTGAGGCGACAGGGCCAGAAGCACGACGTTCATGTGTCCCTTGTCTCATCGCACGGGCTCAGGTGGCTAGGGTGAAAGGCCACATGTGCACACTAGAAACGCGAGGTGTTTGCTTGCCGCCCTCAGAGTTGCAGGTACCGGTTCTACGTGCGTGAAACAATGGAGGAGCTCGCACACGCGTCTCACAGCAACATCATATTCGTGCGGATGTGTGCGAAGCTGAGATGATGCTAATGTTGCCAGGAGGAAATGGTGCACAAGCACCATCAAGAATTGCTAAATGGCAAGGAAGACCCGCCCAAGAATGGGGAGGGCGCAGATACCACGGGCAGCAGTGGCGGCAGCAACGAGATATCCAGGCCAGATATGGCGCTAAGTCCAACATTCGGCAGACTTTGCCATGATTGTATATGTTGTGTTGGCAGGCCTTCCGAAAGCCAAGCTTCGTGATTGGATCCGCTGTATCCGGTTTCGTCGACGTCTCCTCCGGGTCTCATGAACTTCTCTAGGATGGCCCAGTGGGAATCTCAGAGAAAGTAAGCGGAGCACAGCATGGCGAAGCCAGCCTCGGTGCAGAGTCCGGCAGGCCTCCTGAGGCGGAAGGGGGCATGGTGGCTCTCCGCTTCAGGGTGATGGTGCCACGCTGTTCGGCGTTCGACACGCGACAACGTGCAGCTCGGGCAGTGCTCGAGACGCTACTGGACAGGAGGTATCTCTGATACTCCGCAGTTGGCGATAGTTAGTGCAGAGCTGTCCAACGTGGCAGCACTTCTTCCAGCTCGGTCGCGCGGGTGAGACGGGGCGACAACAGTGGTAACTGGAGACAGTACAGGTGACCATCCGGAGAATCAGTGAAAGGATGAACCATGCTGTTTCCGGATGTAATGCTCCGTGCATACACATCGCGGCGAGCTTTGGTGGGGATGTGGGGGGTTGCTGTCCACAGCAGCAAGTAGGCCACTGAAGACATGCACGAGCCCAGAGACATCACCGTACGCTGTACAGGCAGTCGCTTCAGATGGGCAAGCTTTGCGGCTACTCTTGGTGCTCGAGCATGTCGTTCATTCGAGACGAATGATATCGTCGAACATGTCAGCAAGAGGCATTTTCCTTTATGTGGCCTTGATTGCTTTTATCGTGGGAAGGGGCAATTCAAAAGGTTTGGTGCTGCATTGCCGCTGCATGCATAAGCTTCTCCGAAGATGTTGGCAAAGTGTGCCTTGCTTCCGTACAGGCCGTTTTGCAGGCATTGATGCCGCCGCCGCTTGAAGTTCAAGCAGAAGCAGAAGCGGAAGTCTCAGCTTCTCATCTGCAGCGCTCGCAGTCCTGCTGTGGCACGAATCCAAGGTCATCCACTTCCATGCGGTTCCTCTGCGCAGATCCATTCTCCAGCAGTATCCAAGGAATCTCATTGTCGTGGAAGTGGCCGGGTCGGTATTGGGTTTCAGGCAATGTGCAGGAGTCGGGGAAGGCTGTTATGTCGATGGACCTCGCCCTGGGAGTTTTTGTGTGGCCCGTCTCGCAGTACCACCGCCGCCGAGCTTGTCCAGAGTTTGGCGAACTTGCTGAGGCCGCTGCCAAAGCCGTTGTGATGTGATGTGACAGTGATGGAATGCAATTTGGCATTTGGCAATGCTTTTGAGGGACCTGGAGCTGACGGAGACACAGGCCTGCACAGGGCGGAGAAGTGTTTTGCACTCCGGCGAAGCAGGCAGTTGTGCGGCAGCGTGCGACACTCTGCGACCGTGAAGACCGGGGGGGGGCCCCATGCTTCAGGCTCATCGAGCAACGCTGGTGACCTTCGTGCAGCTCTGAGCCTGTAGCGCTTCAGGTCCAGGTACGTCAGCCGAGATTCATGTCCCAGAGCATCAGGATAATTTCAATCATGAGTTGGCACAGTTTACATCCAGCTGTATGCCTCATGGCCAGAGGCATTCACCCAGCTTTGCTTCTACACGCCCTTGCACTTGGCGGTGGAGGCTAGACAACTACCCCATATTGGACGTGTCGTTGAAGTTTACGCGTAGGACCAGTTCAATTAGTCGCATCTGTGACGCATTGCTTCTGTGCCTTCCTTCGCCTTTCCCTTGTTTCCGATGCTCCCCTGTGCTGTGCCCATCTGTGCCAGGCATCGCTGAGCACTGTTACGACAAGGCTTGGGATTGATCTAGTGCGTCTTCGAGCTTTGCAGGACTCGGTGGGCGCGTTCCAGTCTTGGCGAGTAGGGGCAAGCGGGGCCATGTTGAGGAGATCATGCCGTCGCAGCTGGACGAGGCGGAGGCCCACTGCCAGGCTTGCAGGCAACAGGTTCTGACGACAGATTCGAAGCAGAGACATCGTGCAGATGGTGCCATGATGTGCTGTTGCGACGAAGGCAGTGCAGGAGTGGCCTCACTGTCAGGATCTTGGCTCTTGGAACGATGTTGTGTGGTTCTTGGAGCCCAGAGTCAGAGTCGGTGAATTTCAGGCCGGCTCTCAGTGCACGGAGAGCTCCTGCTGATGGAAGCGATGCTCGAAAGCCAGGCATGCTTCTTGCATGCTCACCGCGGGGATTTGGCTTCTTTGCCATGTTCAGCTTCGCAGGTCTTCTCCTTTCTTCGCCTGGGTGGCTCGTGGACTGCAAAGGGGTCTCCGAAGTTGCCGCGTCTGAGCCAGTGTAACAGCTACCACCATCTCGCCGCAGGATGCTCTGGGCAAATTCCTTGGATGCGGCCGTTGGGCACTGAGTCGAGCCATGGATCATACGTGCAGGGAGCCAGCACACTTGGGAGGACAGGTCAACCCAGTATTTGCTGATGTGCCCATCCGAACCAAATTGCATTCATTGTCATGCTAAGTAGCTTTGGTCGGAGGCTCCTTGCAATTGCTCTTGGGGAGCGTCGCAGGAAACCGGCCGTGGGACAATTGAGTGGACTTCGGGCCATGGGGGGTGGGAAGCATCAGCAATCTGGGAGCGCCTTATACCAATCTTCAGCCAGTCTTCAGCCGTTTGCTAGCCAATCGGCTTTGGCTCGTATTGATGGCTTGGCGCAGACACCACATCGCAGTGTAGGCAGCTTCTTCCCGTTTTTCCAGACGCTGTTTCTCGCGTGCGTGTGTGTGTGTGTGTGTGTGTTTGTTTTTGTTTGTTCGCTCGAATTGAGGCTCTTACGGACAGCAGCCAAGTCATGACCTGAGCATGATGTCGGTTTTGGAAGCAACCCCCGTCAGTCTGTTATGTCAATGACTGTTAATCATTGTCCAGCTCTATGTCCAGGTCGCAAGATACTGCAGCTAAGTGTTCGCATTCGCAGGTTGCAGCTGGATGCTGACCGTCGTCAGAGTTTTCTAACTGCTTCGAATTTCGCTCAAGTTTATGAAGGTTCATGCTTATTTACCAGCTGTGTCCTAGCCTTGCAGGTCCGATCATACTTCGGCATGCAATGACATCCAGCTTTAATGAGCCGAGAAGTAGAATGATCGTTGGACAGGAGAATTTTATTTACCATGGTTTCATGATCGCAACTCGTGCTCTGCGTAGTGGTAGGGGGCTAGCCAACACGGCCAGCCGGGAGCGCAACATGCGCCTCAGTTCCGCAAAAGCAGCTTCCCATCCCGGAGTTCATCTTGATTTCAGCACATGCCGTCATCTAGTATGGAGTTGAACAGATTCCGCTAAGCCAAAGAGGGCGTGCAAGAAATCATCGAATTCGCCATAAACGATGGACACTAGCCCAGATGGCTCCCTCCCTCTCCGTCTCTCCTCCCTCCCTGCTCCGTGTTTGAATTCATTCCACCTAATCGGACCTGGCCCACCTACACGGCACATCAGCAGAGGGTTCCCAGCCGTGGGGCACGATGCCCACAGACAAGCTTGCGCCTGCAGCCCCCTCCGGTAGTAATCGACTGGAGCCTGTTGGGGACAGTCAACAACGGCATTCTGGCGAGAGCCCTTCGCTCGCTGAGGCGATGTTCCGTGTACTGCCTACTGAGTCACAGGCGTATTGAGTCGTTGCGCAACATCCTCTCAACTCTCAACGCCTCCGAACTTGAAACCATGGCTCCATGGTCTTCGAAGGCATATGTCCGGCCTTTTATCTCCGCACTCAAGCTCGCACGGAGCGGTTTCAATCAGCAAAGGGTGGCTGAAGCAGGAGGGATGTATTTCCACGACCATTTCCTTTGACATCGCCGCCTTCGAAGTAGTGAAAATAGTGAAACCTCACCCAGCAATTCTTTCGTCACGAGTTCTCGTGCCCGGCACTTTCGTCCTGCGGCTCAAGTTGTCTAGTTACGGGGCCCACGCGGCTTTCAAGTGCCTCGGCTCCGACATGCCAATGCCGCCGGTTCCGGCAAACGATGGCGACAATCCATTGGAGTCTCGGCTTGCAGACTTAGAAGTCACTAGCCTATGGATGTCCATGGCACCATGGTCCATGGTTCCCGATTCTTACGTTACTGTTGTCCTTGGCTTCAGCTGGTCGCGTGGCTTAGGCAGGCGGCGCATCCTCTGGTGCTTTCACGAGCACGGTTAAGCTGAGGACGTCGCTTCGAATATGCTTGTGCCCTCAAGCTGAATTCCCCCTCCTGGCACTGTGTCGAACAGGCTCATTTGCACGAACTTGCAGGACTGAGGAAGGAAAGCTCATCGAGATCGATGCGTTAGAAATGCCAATGGGTGTCAAGAAGGTCTTGCACGAGCTGGACCTTGACAGTACAGGCTGGTGTCAAACTCCACTGCGGCTGTCCCAAGGGGCGGTTTAAGAAGCCTGAGGTCTCCGAAATTTCAGCATGAGAGGACATTTTGCCTCGCGAGTCTCTGCACGGTTAACTAGGACAAGACCACGGGCCAGGGACAAGGCAAGCGATGTGCCAGCAAGATTCTGGGCTCTAGCGGGATGTTTATCTTCGTACGTGAGCATGCGCCCAGCCGTGTGTCCAAGGGCTATAGCTGTTGAGTTCGAGCTGCTTTGTGAAGTCGTCGTCTGCAACAGCTTGTGAGCTGGCTGCGGAGTGAAGTTATCTCCAGCAGCGGGACTGCCTGACCGATCACAAATGGGAACTGGGGACGCCTGGTTCACGTACCTGCTTAGTGATGCTGGTGACATAGTGCATCATACTTGCTGTAGTCTGCTTGTCTCGTCGGCATGAAGTGGAATTGTTCTGGATATGGAAGGGAGCTAACGCCAATAAGCATTGGTTATGAAAGATGTGATGTGAGAGAGAGCCGGTGGCTGAAGGGTGCGTGTATGTGTGTGTGCGTGCGCGCGCGCGTGTGTGTGTGTGTGTGGGGAGGTTTGCAGTGGCTGTGTTTTGAGAATGGGCTTCGAGAATTGATGGCAGTTGACATCAGCCTTTGTTTCTGCCACCAGGAATCGTGGATGAGAAGAATCTCGAAGACTCTCTCCGGCACTTCGCTCGGTCATCCCACTGACGGGGTAACTTCATGCCCAGAGTTTCTCCGTTCTTGTACGTGCTGGCTTTGGATTTCGTAGTTCCGCCACTCAGGTGTCTGAAGCACTTGAAGAAC